CCAGCTAAAACAACAATGACAACTGCAGCAACAACAAAATAGTGGGGCATTGTGTCGGGTGCCTGTAGTCCCAGCTACTTGGGAGGTTGAGGCAAGAGAATCACTTGAGCCTAAGAGTTTGAAGTTGCTGTGAGCTGTGACACCACAGCACTCTATCAGGGTGACAGCTTGAAACTCTGTCTCAAAAAAAAAAAAAAAGAAAAGAAATGTAAATTGGAGGTTGCAGACTGTTTGCCACAGACCTTCCCTGTGAATAGGGAACTAAAGGTGGCCACCTCAAAGGGGGAAATGAGAGAATGTGGGGAGTACCTGGCCAAAGTTGCAGTACTAGGGGTCGTGGGGCTCACCATGGCAGAAACCACAGCTGCTGTTTGAATTTTTAAGACTTAGCTCCTCTAACCTGCTCAACAATGAATCAGCTGCTCCCTGTCCCTTTATCTGTTTCCCTCATTTGATCACACAGGGTAGTGTGGACAGTCCTCCTTTCTGAGGTACGTGTCCCAGGAAGACAAGGCAAGGCTCTGGCCATTTATTCACTATATTTAATCATTAGGCTGCTACAAAGGTTGGGCAGATTTCAGATGTGCCAAAGTCCTTGGCATTAGCTCTCCCAATGCAGATGAATTTCTCTCAATGCAGCTTCAAAAGAACCCAGAAAGGTCCCTTTAACTGGGTGAGGCAGGGGCAGAGGAGATGAGGCAGGAAGGCATCCATCCACACAGCAGGAACAGCTCGTTGACAAGGGTCTGGGTCTTCCTGCTTAGGGCCCTGCCTCTTGCCACTTCTTTGCACCTCCACAAAGTGACCCTGTTCCATTATGCTTGCCTTTTTCTTTCTAAAAAATCCTGCTCTAGGGCGTGCCTGTACCTCAAGGAGTACGGTGCGGGCCCCATATGCTGAGGGTGGCGGGTCAAACCCAGCCCTGGCCAAAAACTACAAAAAATAAAAATCATGCTCTAAGGGAACCCCCTTGTAAATTTATGTTAATACATAAATTCCTGTTGGGGCTTTATGCTGGCTCATTTTCACAAAGAGAAAACCTTTCAGTCAAAGAAACAAATAAGTGGGGAGGCAGAAGGCCTTCCCCATGATTAAGAAAGCACAGTGCCTACTACTCCACTCAGAAAACCAGAGGGCGTTCTGCAGCCTGGCTCTTGCTCTGCTCTCACAGGGGCCCAGGCCATTTGGGCTGAACTGACTGAGCAGCATTTGAACCCTCCACCCTCTCCCTGAAGTAGGAAAGTGGGCAGGGATATGGCGGGGGAAAGGAGGATAAAGCAGCTAGATGGAACAGAGGGGCAGAATGTAGGAATTATTCCCTCCAAGTGCACTCCTCAGGGCTGCTGGAGAGGAGTGCAGAGTTGTTTCTTCAAAGCATGACTTTTGATGCTTTGAACAAGGGGCTCTGGACTTCTAGCTCTTTAGGGAACCCTCAACCCCTCCCCCCAGGTTTTCCTGTCCCATGAGACATCCCCCTTATTGCTGGTGTGTTTGAGAGGGGATCGTTTCATGAACAGGTGCAGTCAACCTGGGTACTGCCTGGGGCCTCCCATCTGCCTTAAGGGCTAGGACCAAATTTGGCCTGGATCACATTATGCTACGGGGAGGCTGGGGGTGAAGGGGTAGATTCAGGTCACCAGACCAGGGGTGGGGTCAGAAAAAAGGACTGGAAAGGAGTCTACCTGCCTTCCCACAGGGAAGCCCCACCCCAGTAGCCCTCTTGGTTCAGGAAGGGGCTTCACAAACAGAATAGGCTGACACCTTTACAGCACCTCCCTAGTACTTTGGGCGGCCCAGGTGGTAAAGCATCACTTAAGGTCAGAAATTTGAGATCAGCCTGGGCAAAAATTACAAAACTTAGCTGGGTGAGGAAGTGCATATAGTGTCAGCTACTCAGGAGGCTGAGGCAGGAAGATCCCTTAAGCCCAGCAGGTTGAGGTTGCAGTGAGCCATGTTACCACAGCCCTCTAGCCAGAGTGATAGTGTGAGATCTTGTCTCAAAAAAGCAACACACAGGGCGGCGCCTGTGGCTCAGTGAGTAGGGCGCCGGCCCCATATACTGAGGGTGGCAGGTACAAACCCGGCCCCGGCCAAACTGCAACAAAAAATAGCCGGGCATTGTGGTGGGTGCCAGTGGTCCCAGCTACTTGGGAGGCTGAGGCAAGAGAATCACCTAAGCCCAGGATTTGGAGGTTGCTGTGAGCTATGTGACACCACGGCAGTCTACTGAGGGCGATAAAGTGAGACTCTATCTCTACAAAAAAAAAAGCAACACACATACACACAATAGAAGAAAAGAAAGAGAGCTGGTCCCGGAACACAGACATCAGTATATTTTATGTGCACAAATGTGAAAAGGAAGAGACAGAGAGACCAAAAGAGACACAGAGCAGGCAGTGGGCTCACAGACTGATCACATGTCCTTCTCAGGAGCTGCCAGGTGGGAGACAGTCCCACTTACATCAAAGGCCCTTTTGCCAAGCCAGGGCCTAAAGCTTCACCAGGCCTGGGGTGGCCTCAGGGTAGAAGGCACTCTTGCTGCCATAGCTCCTCTTCACTCCCTGGTGATGTCTGCAGGCCCAGAGTCTCATAAATGCAGGTTCTCATGAACTGACCCACTCAGCAGCTGCCCCTCCCCCAGGAGATCCATTCAGAATAAGGGACTAGGACAAAAGGGCTTCATGGGCACACCCTACGTATTATTGCTGTGAATAAGCATAGGCCATTGTGACTCACTGGCATCGAAGAGGGGACAGGGCACAGGGGACAGGATGCCTAGCAGACATCAGAAGCAATTCAACCATGCAGGGCAGCACATCGCAACCTATAACTCGGAGTTGCTTTCAGGTCCAGTGGAGAGAGGCCCAGGACATCAGGTTCACGGACAAGCCATTAGACTCTCCCCACCAGCACCCATACTGCTTGGCAAGGCTGGGATACTTCAAACTTTGAGTTCCTGGGCACTAAGGGATTGGGGCCCAGAAGATCCCCACAAAAGCAAAAGTTGAAGTCTGAGCTACCCCTGGGGAGATCCGAACCTGCAGATACCGTGGTCAGGCCACGGGTTTTTGCCACCTCCTGTTGGGGGCTCAGTGCCCCTCAAAGGCCAACAGGAGCAGTGGGGCACCTAGCCGTAGCAGAAGCGATACTGCATGTTGGCCAGGCACACAGGCTCACGTCAGGACCTCCCACACTTGGGAGCTCGCAGGGCCCGGAGAGAAAGTGGTGCCAGGGAATTCCCACAAGGCAGCATCTGGAGCGGCAGATCCAGGGGGCCTCCGAGGGGTCACTCTGGGCAAGGATTATGGAGGCCTTACGCTGGGAGACATCAGCAAGCTTGCCACTGGATTCAGTTGTGGAAGGGGAGTGTGAAGGTGGCCTGTGTGGTCTTGGGGCCCAGGAGACCTAGACAATATGAAATTAGGGGAAGAGGACCAAGGAAACAATGGCCCAGGGGAAACAGAGAAGCCAGAAAATATTCTCCCCCTGCAATCTCTCCCCATGTAGAGGAAAAAGAATCCACTCCCACTAGAATCCTGATTCTCTGTGGTCCCCAAAGCCCAGGAACTGGGGCCATAATAAAATCAAAGGAAAGACTGCAGAATATAGTTAGTTCATCCCTGGATTTGAGGAGCCTGCCCAGGGAAAAGGCAGGGGAACGCCCTCCATTCTGCTCAGGACAAGGCCAACTGCAGAAAGATTCTGCCAAAGGCAGTGGCCAAGCCTCTCTCCTGACCCAAGACCGCCCCCCCCCCCAGGCCTGTCCCCTGGGTGGTGCTGTCTGCATGGCCCTGGTGGAACAACCAGCAAGGAAAAGGAGATTCTCTCCACAGGTCTTGTCGCTTTCTAATGACCTATAAAAATGGAAAGGCTAATTTCTTACTAAGAATCCTAGTGTGGTCAAGAAGAAACCAGGTACCATGGGATGGTACACTTTATGACGGATCCCTCCCTCAGAGTCGGGAGCAGAGCCAGAAGTGGGCTGGAGTGAGGATTCACCCGTCCACTGCCAGCAATGGACCTGCCATGGGGGAAGAGGGGCAAACAAGATGACAAAGCCCATGAATGTGGCAGGTTAACACTGTTTAAGGAGCAAGCTCAATGGGCCAGCTTCGCTGGGAGAGTGGGGGCGCGGGTGGCACTGAGAAGGTTCTGCCACAGGGCTGGGGCTATGGCAGAACCAGAACTGACCCCTTCCCACAAAGGGTGCTCAAAGGGCCTTCCAAGGCTAAACGCTCTTTTAGAGCTCTAAAAGGCTCTTTCTTCCTTGCTCACTCTCCATGGGTCTCAACAACAGACACCTGCTCTGCTCCTCCATTTACCCAGAAACTAGACTGCTCAATTGGCTTGAAAAGACACCAGTCAGGGCACAGATGACCCAGAACACTGCCTTCCTCCACTGAGCTGACTTGCCTCTAGGCCCCGCTGTGGAGCCACAAGGCCCCTCTCAGCTTCACTGAGGTGTCATTCCTTTTCAACAGGGCCACCGTGGGGAGGAGCCCTGCCACAGCCCTCCAGACCCCAGGCAGTGGGGTGGCACGACTCAGGAACGCCCCTGGTGGTGGGTGGCAGGGGTACCAAAAAAAAGGCTGCAGGACAGCCGGGGGCCTGTCCGGCAGCTGCTGTGTGTAGAGTCAAGGATGGGGTGGGTGTGGTGGCCACCATGAACAAAGGGCCGCTAGTGGTAAAGGCCTTGAAAACGAAAGAAAAAGGGAAACGCCACCGAACACACGGGGATTGAAACCTCCAAAAGCCCAAGGTTGGTGGGAATCCAGCACCAGGGGGGCCCCCAGAAGGCCAAGGGAGCAGCGTGGGGAGGAGCCACAGGAAGGCCTCCCAGCCCTTGCAGACCAGCATCGCTGCTAAGCCGCCTCCCGGCTGCCCATCTCTCAGGCCGCAAGTCAGCAGGCCCCAGGGAGGTATTGGTTGCAAGCAAGCACCTGAATATTGCCTAATGGAACCAGCCAAAGCCCAGCGGAATCCCGAAAGAGGGAGGAAACTCAGGCCTGGCCTCCCACCTATGGCCCGGTCCTCAACATCCCTTAGCCGGGACAGGGCCTGCTGCTTCCAAAGTCAACCGTGTAGTCCAGTCAAACACAGGCCGCCTGCCACCAGCCTTCGAGCTGGGCTGAGATCCACGGACCCTTCCCAATGTCCTTCTGCTGCCTTGACACTCCTCAGCCCCCAATACCTGGTCACAACCCCCCACACTCGCCCACCCTGAGGGGGTGCCTGTAAGTAACGGGGCCCCAAGGGGCTGAGGCCGGGCTTGTGCTGTGCGGAAGGGGCAGCCCCACCAGCGTGGTCTCTTTGTCCATGGGTCCCCTGCCCCCTCCTCAGTCAGTCTTGACGTGACCGTTGGCCAGGGCCAGGGCGCCGCTGGGCTCCCCGGGCTCTGCGTCCTTGTCGAAGCGGAGACGGAGGGTGTTGCGGATGATGAACTGCTCCATGATGAGGGCCCCGCAGAACCAGGGCACGGCGTACTCCAGGGTGATGAGCCCCATGAAGTCAAAGTCGAACTGGGAGTAGTCCCAGGGGCAGGCGTTGAACTGGCGCAGGATGAAGCCGGTGGTGAACTCCCACAGGTAGGTCCAGAGCGTGTAGATGAGGCAGCGCAGCAGGAGCGGGCAGCGGCCGCGCAGGCGCAGGTACATGCGCTCCACGATGAGGATGGACGTGCCGTAGATGAAGAGGGCCCACACGCTCGTGACCCCCGGGAACTTCCAGTTCAAGTTCACCACGAACTCCCAGGCCGCTGTGAACATCACCTCGCAGAAGTAGCCGTGGATGGCGTACAGGTACCAGCGGGAAAGCGCCGTCAGGGGCTCGGCAGAAGCCATGGTGCAGGCTGGGGCCGGCTGCTGGAGACACAGAGACAGAGGTAAGGCGGGAGCCCCTGCTGCTGCCCCCACTGCACAGCCCAAGTCTCTGGCCTGACCAGGCTGGAGGGGATTTCAAACCTGCCTCTACTTTCTCCTTCCCCTAGGGAGGTGTCTCCTAACTCTGCCTATAACTTCCATGGATTATCTGGGGTCAATTGCAGCACTGGCTGTCCTGGCAGATAGCAGATTTCTCACCATGTCCATCCCCCAGGGACCCTATCTCTTCCCTTACTTCCTCCCACACAGTTCCATGTTACTCACATTTCTGCATACCCTGCCACCTCTGTATGTGTGTGCACATGCCATTTTAACCATTTTAAGTGTGCAACCTACTGGCAATAAGTACATTCATAATTTACTGTAACCATCACCACCATCCATTCCTAGAATTTTATCATCATCCCAGACTGACACTTGTAATCCTAGTACTCTGGGCCAAGGCAGGTAGATTGCCTGAGCTCATGAGTTCAAAACCAGCCTGAGCAAGAGCCAGACCCTGTCTCTAAAAAATAAGTGGGCGTTGTGGCAGGTGCCCGTAGTCCCAGCTACTTGGGAGGCTGAGGCAGGAGAATCACCTGAGCCCAAGAATTTGAGGTTGCTGTGAGCTATGAAGTCATAGCTCTCTACTGAGAGCAACAAAGTGAGACACTGTCCCCAAAATAAGTAAATAAATCATCCCATGCTGAAACTCTGTACCCATTAAACACCAACTCTCCGGGCCCTCAGCCCCTGGCAACCACCATTCTACTGTCTCTGTGAATTTGACTACTCTATAGATACCTTATAGAAGTGGAATCATATGAATATTGCCCTTTTGTGACTGGCTTACTTTACTTAGCATAATGTCTTCAAGGGCTCATCGATGCCGTACGTAGCATATCAGAATTTCCTTCCTTTTTAAGACTGAATCATGTTCCATTACATGTATGGATCACATTTGTTTATCCATTCACCTGTTGGTGGATACCTGGGTTGCTTCCACCTTGAGGCTACTGTGAATAAGGCTACTATGAACACAAGCTGTGCAGATATCTGTTTGAATCCCTGCTTTCAATTCTCTTGCGTATAAACCCAGAAATGGAAATGCTGGATCATATGGTAATTCCATGGTTAACTTTTTTTTGAAGAACCACCATGCCGTTTTCCACAGGGGCCACACCATTTCACATTCCCGTCAGTGATGTACAAAGTGATCCAATTTCTTCACATCCTTGCCAACGCTTGTTATTTTCTGTTTGTTTTATAATGGCCATTCTAATGGGTATGAAGTAGTGTCTCATTGTGGTCACATTTGTCTTTGTCCCATTAAATGGGGTTTTGGTGTTTAGTTACAATGTTGAGTGGAAACCAATGAACTAACAGAGGAAAAAATAACCCCTCTCCATACTTCCTGCCCCCTCCCCAACTCCACCTGTCTTCACAGTCCAGCTCCCTTCCTGACCCAGCCCACAGGCCTCTCTAGGTTCGCCTTGCCCTCCACCAGCAACTCTATGGACCACTCATTTGACCCATTATCAAATGGCCCTCTACTGACTTTTTGAGGTATGTACCCTTGTGATCCAACTGGCCAGTGAACCCCTGAGGGCAGCAACTGTGGGGCAGTCTTGTGCTTTGCAGCCTTGACACAGGCCTCTCCTGAGAGGCCTTCTCTAAATGACATGTCCTATTTATGTGCAGGGTGGCATGGGAGAGTTCAGGGCTGAATCAAGGATAGGAAGGCAGGGCTTGAGGAAATGAATCCCAGCTCTGTTAGCTGCCATGAACACCCAGCTTGACATCAGTCGACATCCCCTTCAAGGTGGGAGAAGAGGCTTGGCGCCTATAGCTCAACCGGC